AGGGTCGGCTAGTGAGTTAGACGTGGGGCTCGGCCTCTGCGTCTGTGCGTGGCTTCCAAGGCCACGACACTGCTGTCCTCGGCATGGACCTGGGGGCGCATCGCAGACATCTTTGTGAGGCCAGGGGACCAGAGTGCTGACATCTCCATGACAACGCCGCCCCCCCACCTCCAGTCCAGCCTCAGCCCAGGGACAGACTGCGCTGTGTCCACGGTCCGGGCGCAGCCGGTGCCCGTCATGGGTCACCATGAAGACGGACTCTCCCACAGCAAACCTGTCCCCCTCACTGCTCCATGAGTAGGGCCCTTTGGCGCTGATTCTGTGCCCTGGCTCCCAGGTGCCAGCAGAGAACCATGCAGCAGAAAGTGGACAATTGCTTTAATGCAGAAATGAACACATGACTGTCCCAGGGAACACTGAGCCTGACCACCAGCCGGATCGAGCTCCCAGCATCGGCGCTGTGCGCACCAGAGCGGACATGAGGAGCCACGGATGGCGGCCGGCACCGCACACGGTGGTCTGGACACACTGCCTCCTCCCAGGCAACTAGGCGATAGCTTTGTGATTCAACCTTTCTTAAGATGACAACGATTTCTACACGTGCCTACGAGGTGTTTCTAGGGTAACAAACACAGCCACGGTCGCTGACAGAACAGCCAGCTCTGCATCTGGATAAAGAGTTCCTGACCGAGGGCCACGCCCAATGCTCCCGGAAATTCCTGGGCGGCTGCAGTCGGTATAGCGACGCATGTCCCGTGGTAAAGGTCACCCTCACGACTACGCAGAGGGGCAGGCGCGGGGTCCCAGGGTGGGGCGGGGAGAGCAGAAGCCCCACCCGAGGGGGGTCATCAACATGAGCAGGACACAGCGACCCACACGGGTCTCATCCACCCACCGACTCCTCCGTCCACCAGATGTTTGCTGAGCACCACCCACGTCCAGGGGGAAGCACGTGAACTCCCCTGGGGCTGCCGCAGGCGGGCCAGATGAGGGAGGAAGCCATCCCCGCAAACCCGACGTCCGCAGCATCGCCTCACCTGCAGTTCACCTTCCCCGGGGAAGCCGCCGGCTGTGGGGGGAGACTCTCAGGCTCCCGCCGCGGGTCCCAGAGCAGGCAGCGGACCCCCTGGAAACGCACCACGTAGCTCACGGTCTCGGTCAAGTACCTGTTGGGAGATTCCCTGTCGTAGTCCGCATCCAACAGGGACAGGTACCCCTGGGTGTGGCCTGAAAGAGAAAATGTAAGTTAAGAATCACAACCTGAGGTTTGGGAAAAGGCGCCGCCTGCTCCTGCAGCAGATGAGCGGTGACGGACAGCAGCACCGACACCCACACCACAGCAGGGGCTTCCTCACGGGACAGAGGGCCACGGCGTCCCGTCCACCGACCTTCCAGCGCAGCCGCCGGCACGGAGACGTGCGC